TTTCTGCAGCCAATAAATCAAGTTCAACAGTGGTGACACCTTGATATACACCAGAAATTACCTACATTATATAATAAATTTATTCAATATATATATATAAATACCAAATTATAATTTAGCATGTTATGAACCTTTTGAGTAACTGCTGCAGGATCAACAAAGTTTAAGTCAAGACCATAAGACAAATTATTAATACGTGAAGTAATCTATATTGTAAATAAAATTTTTTTGGTCGATATGTAGTAGTTATAGCAACAACAAACAACAATAACAATAATAAATAATATTAACTTTATCAAAAGCGACGCGTTCTTTTCGACCATCTTTGTAAAGAAAGAATGAAAAAATATTGTGTTAGTTCGCCACTTCATTTTTCCCGATTGTGCACGTTATATATTTTATTTACATACCTCTCTTAAAGACAAACATGATTTGAAAATTGTTTTATTAAAAGTATATTTAGTTTGTAAAAAGAAATAAATTTTAATGCCTTTTCAATATACGCGTAATTCTTAAAAAGGATTTGAAATTTTACCCTTCCCAGAAAAAAAATCTGATCGTAAAAAAAACTATGGAAATTTACGTGTCGTACCCCAAAATTTTAATTTTTTAGTATTACAGTCAACCCTACCCCCTGGAAATGAATGATAGCGCACGCGTACTTGGAGAGGATGTGCACTTAGAGAAACAAAGCATTTCATTGGTTGCATGTGACACTAATAAAAAATACTACTGTCATTATTATTACTAAAAAAAATTTATATTCATAATTATTGATTAAGATAAGATTCCATTGTACTTAGCCTCATTGTATTTATTGTTTTTAAACTAATATATCTATCAAGGGAATTAACCAGTTAGGAATTAAGGTTAATTGATTATAAAAGTTTTAATGAAATAAAATCCTTGATTCATGTCTTATTTATAATAATTTTAACTACATAAACTTCTCTGTCTGCTTTTTGCTATTTTTGTTCTAATAATCTTTGTATCTATTAAAAAGAAAGAATTCTTTATTCTCCTGTCACTTAATATTGATAAAGTGAACAACAATTCTTTACTTGCCTGTTACAAAATAATTATTTATCATCTCTTACTAATAATAAATTTAATTCTTTATATCTTACAAAAAAATCAAAGGAAACGTCGGTTGCATCATTTTCATTAGGCAATTATCACGGGCGTGCATTTTAGAGCAGTCATCACCACACATTAATATATATCATTAACACATAATGACTTGGTAAGGCTGTTGGGGATTTTATTTCTGCAAATTATGTGAATCCTTTATCAACAATCGAGACCTACTTCAGCAATAATTTGTACATCGTCATTATCATTTTCATCAAGCGTTCTGTTAATTCCGATTGGTTAATTTATGACAAATGACAAATGACTGATGATCATAGTTTGTCATAATAGTCATATGACCAAGTCATTTACAAATGAATGACCGATGACTACATGTCATATGACTAAATGACTTGGTCATCTGTCATATGCATATCAGCCAATTTGGTTTTTTGGGCCTTTTTTCAAACCTTATGTCTTATTGTGTCTCGATGTTAAACACGAGTACTTTTAATGTGTAAACTGGTCAGTAGAATGATAATTAACCCTAAAAAAATTTATTTGCTCCGCTAAAAAAACTATTTCACTATTCAACAGCCCGTCAAACCAATGGCTCCACCTCAAAACCAATGGGGTTTTGCTAGTGTAAAGTATTCATAACGTTATGATCATACCGTACTGAATTTTGGGGATCAAACAAAATCAGCGCATAAGGCCAACACTACAAAAAATGACGATATATTTGGTGAATTAATTGTTAAAATAAATAAAACTTTGATTATTACTATTATTATGAACATGATATCGAGTTTCTTCACATAAGTTATATTAATATGATGGATGTTACGCTGTAAAGGAATAATCTCATGTTAATATTAATATTCTTTAAACATAACATTAATAGTAATAGCATTAACAAAACTTGTCCCTGGGATGTTATGTTCATAATATTTTAGATAATAATATATACAGCATGTATACATGAGAAGAGTGTATATTAAGGAAATTTAAACGTTTTTCATAGCTCGTTGCACTAGTTTATTCAAAGATAAAATAAAATAATACTTGTTAGATGATATTCCACAATATTTGATATTCATGATATTAATGATCTCTTAAATTCATAAAAAAAAATATATAAGCTAAAAAATTCATGTAATTATGATCTTCTTTGATTTCTGTAATAGTCTTGTTCTGAATAATTAATTATTTTTTTGGTAGCCTTTCTTTGTGGTCGAAGACTTGTGGAACGTGGTGGTGTAGATTTTTTGTTATCGTCATTTTTTCTTTTTCTTTTTACATTCTTTTTAACGCCATTATCATCTCCCTGATTATTACTATCTACCTTTTCCTCCTTATTATCACTATCAATGTCTTCGTCATCATGAATAATACGAAAGCGATTACGATTAGAAACATTGAGATTGCTGCGACTATTATCAACAGGTGTACTACGACGAACCATTTTACCCCGAATAATAGTATCACTATTGGTGTTTCTGCTGGTTTTTTTAGTAGTTACCCTACTGTTGAAAGCAGGTTGATATTTTCTATAGTAATGATTATCAGAATAGTCTATTTTTTTCTTTGTAACTGCTCTTTTTATCTTTTTCCTTTTAATAACAACAGTATCATTACTTTTAATTTTACTTTTCATTTTTTTATCATTACCATCATTACTTTTGTTTGCAACTATATCTTTGTTCTCCTCCTCCCCGCCCTCGTATTTTTCTTTACCTCCTATGTATTCATTATTTTCCTCTGAGGCATTCTAAATTTTAAGTTTAATGAAATTAAAATATATTATATATATAAATATAAAAACATACACATAATATATATATATATATTTAAAAAATTTTTAAAAGGAAAAGATACCCCAACTTCTTCAATCTGCTCCAACTCTTTTTCAATCGGTCTAATCATTACATTCAAAGCATACTTTTCATTAACATCTTTTGAAGCCCGCGTATTGTTTATTACCTCAGGTGAACTGTGTCCTGATCCCATTTCTTTCTCCCGTATTGTCTCTAAAACCGATTTTAGGGCTCCTTGTTCAAAATTCATAATAATAATAATAATAAATAAGGATGAAAAATTTTAGGCCCTGTTTACAGCATAGTGGATGTTTGTTGTTACACGAAATGTTGTAGTTGTTACCTCTCTAAATTGGAAATCAGGTTCAAAATCCAGTTTATCACTTACTTTTTATTGCCAGAATGTTTGCCGTGTATAAATTTCCACTATGCTCCTGTTTACTTAGTAATATAAAAATAATCAAAATATACGTACGTGTAACATATTTTACAGAGATCGTCCGTCACTCAAAAAATATATAGAACCCCATTTATAATAGGGGTGTGTTCCTGTACAATACTAATACTTATTAGGTAATGGAAATCAGGAACAAATAAACTGGTTTTTGGTATTGATCTACATAATACAAGTTACGCGTTTTTTTTAAGATATTAATATATATTTTAAATTTGTGTATATATAATCAATATTGAAATGTCAACTCATGAAGGAATTGAAGAGGCATTGTTTCTAAATCTATTTCAAAGAGTGGCTGATTCGAATGAATTGGATGAAAATTTTGATGAAGACGAATTAGAATATTTTGAAATGAATGGAAGAAGTTGTTGCCCTTTGAACTGATAAATACTTTGTTGTCATTACTAGTAGAAGAAGCTATTCTTTGAACTGGGTAAATACTTTGCCGTTGTTTTTATTGTAGAAGAAGCTGTCCTTTGAACTAGGTAAATAGTTGTACAGCTATTTAAAAAAATCGTTTCCGAATTTGGAAACCTAATTATATTCTTGCCCCTTGTTACACGATCTGATCAGAAGGAACGGAATAATATAATACCTTTTTCTTATTAAGGCACATTGTCTCATATATATATAAAATAAAAATTGATCTAATCTACCTAAATGTTTAACAAATTATATATAAAAAATATTTTTTGGTATAATTAAAGAAATGACTTTAAGGTATTTATAACATTAAAATTTGTATAAATTTTATAGTTAATTAGTTAATTAGTAATGATCCAGAAATAGAATCACAAGAAATTAATAACGAAAATAATGAAACCAGTTCTAGTCAAGAAATCTTAAAAGCTACAAATGAAGCTACAGCTACTGCAATTACAGCTGTAGCCTCGACCACCACCACCACCACAACCACTAATGCTGATATTGATGCTATTACTACTGCAACAAGTACTACAGCCACCATAACTAATAAAAATAATTCAACCTGGTCTTTAGCTGTTAAAAATAAAGTTGAAAAACTTGTTGGCGAGCATTTACCTGAATCATTAATACATGATAAAAAAATTGTCAATGCATTTAACAAGTTAAATAAAAATGTCAAATCTAAGCTTAATGATAAAGAGCTACATCCTGAACTTGACTGGGATGCAAATGTTAGATTATCAAATGATCTTTGTGATGACGAAAAAAATTTCATCAAAGAACGAAAAAATCATATTCGTGAATCTTTTGCAAAATATGTTGGTGTTGATGTTGAGGAAATTGATGTGGATGATATCCCTGTTATTGGTTTTGCTGGTAGTGGTGGTGGTTTTAGAGCCATGATTGCTACTACAGGTTATCTACGTGCTTTACAAGATTCAGGTCTTTATGATTGTGGAATGTATTTAGCAGGTAAATAAAACATATCCCCTAATAAAAATAATTGATTGTTTATTTCAAGTTAAATACAAAATTTTTTTTAAATAAAAAATAGGTGTAAGTGGAAGTTGTTGGAATATTGCGCTTCAATATTCTTCTAGGATATCAAGTCAAGAGAATCCAATTGAAGCATTACTAGAGCATTTTAGAACTCGTTTAACAAACCATATATCTAGTCCAAGAGGTCTATTCAAGTTACTCAAACATTCGCCAGATCCCGAAAAGACTGTTGAATTGATATTTGGAGGTTTGATAGAGAAAAAATTATCTGGTGTAGATATTGGTATTATTGATATCTATGGTGCTTTATTGGCTGCAAGATTATTATTAGGTGATGATTCACAAACCCAATTTAAAGATTTTAAATTAAGCGAACAAAAACGCTTTTTGGAAGGTGGTAAGAATCCATTGCCTATTTACACTGCGTAAGTATATACATATAATAATAATCATCATTAATGATAATATTAATGATAATTGGATTTATGTTATTGTTAAGTATTCATCATGCACGTCCTTGGAAAGATTTTTTGAATAAGGAGGATGCATCTTTAATTGAAAATTATAATCAAATATTAAAAAATCATCATAATCAGAAAGATCATTATCGATGGTTTGAATTTACTCCTTTTGAGATAGGGTGTGATGAATTTGAAGGTTAGTGTTCATTTATAATATTTTACAAAGAAAAACACCCATTTAACACACACACATGTATATATGTATAATAATGCAGCATGGATTCCAACCTGGTCATTTGGAAGAAAATTTGAATTTCAAAAAAATC